ACTCTGTAATTTTTTAGTTGCTCATAGCAACGGTCTCTATAATGAGGAGTCTTGGTTTTGCTGAAAACATCCATTTTCAAACAGGCTTTTGTAGTTAAGTGCTTTAAAAAAATGTGAATAGGGTTTAATAAGGGCTAAATTACCTTTGGGAGATTATTTTTATGTAACAGAACTGTTAAAGACCCAGGAGGTATTCTTTAGTTACTGCATTTCAAAGAGAAAACCTTCCCCATGACTTCTATTGCTTACTACATGGTGCAGTTTACTTCCAGATTTGTCAGTTGGTAAAAGAACACAAAGAAAGGAATTATGAGGCTAAGGAACATTATAGACTGAGTTTCAGTAGTGGGTTTATTTTACCAGCTTATATTTATGGCTTGAATTTTTAAATACTGTGTAGGTTATGAGACTAATACTGTTTTGTGAGACAGCCATATAAGCAAGGTCACGTTATGATCATGGCTTGTTGGCACAGGAGTAACTGAAGGTCCCCCCTTGGTTGGAATTCAGAAGGGAATTTTATATTGAGTTCCTCTCCTTAATAAAAAGCCTTACTGTAGGGGTTAGTATTTATATATCATCTAGTTTTTTAAAATTATATGCTATAATATACAGGTCTTATATGTTGATAAATTTATCCCTACATATTTTATACCATTTGATGTTGTAAATGGTATTGCTTTTTAAATTCACTTTCTGGTTGTTCATTACTGGTATAGAAATACATTTAAGTTGTATATATTGACCTTGTATGTTAAACCTTGCTAAAACTCACTCACTTGTTTTAAAAGGTTTTTTTGATTACTTAGAATTTTCTATACGTATAATCATAAGGTCTGCAAAGGAAAATATTTCACTTCTGAATTTCCAATCTGAATGCCTTTTAATTTTTTCCTTGCTTTTTTGTTTTGTACTGACAAGAACTGCCAGTACAACACTGAATAGAAAATGTGAGAGTGAGCATCTTTGTTTTGTTTTGTTCCTGATTTTAAGGGTTCTTTTCCATATGTAAGAATTATGTGAATTTTAACTTTTTCATAGAAGTCTTTGTCAGAAGTTTCCTTTTGTTCCTTGTTTGATGAGAATTTTTATCATAAATGCGTTTTAGACTTTGTCAAGTGCTTTTTCTGTATTTGTTGAGGTTTCATGTGATTTGTGTCTTTTATTCCATTAATAACTACATTGATTGATTTTTTTAATCATTAATTTACAATTACATGCAGAACATTATGTTTACTAGGCTTCCCCCTTCACCAGGTCCCCCCCACAATCCCCATTAGAGTAAGATGCTGTATGATTGATTTTTGAAAGTTAAAACAACCTTAAGTTCATAGGATGAATCCTACTTAGTCACAGCATATTATCTTTTCAAGAATTTTTCTGTGTTGATGAGGAATATTTCCTGTAGTTTAATTTACCTGTAATGACTTTGTTTGGTTTTGATAACAAGATAGTGAAATGAGTTGGGAAGAGTTCCCTTCTCTTCTGCTTGCTGGAAGAGTTTATGTAGAATTAGTATTGTTCCTTGACAATAATAGACTAAATAATAATAGAATTGACCAGTGATGCTATGTGGGCTTGGATTGTATTTTGGAAATAGTTGAAATTATAAATTACATTTCTTTAGTTGGTATAGAGCTATTCACATCATATTCTTGGTAATTTGAGCTTTCAAGGTATTTGTTCATTTTGTCTAAGTTGTTGAATTTATTTGGCATAATGTTTGTCATAATATTTGTTTATTATTCTTTTAATGTCTGTAGTATCTGTTCTGATGCCCCTTTTTTGCCCCTGATATTCCTAATTTGTGTTTTCTTTCTTTTAGCCCAGTGAAAGGATTAATTATTATTGAACTTTTCAAATAACCATCTTTTTTTTGATGGCTTTTGCTATTGATTGTCCATTTTCTGTCATTGTTTTCCTTATTTATCATTCTTTTCTCCTTCTACTTATTTTGGGTGGTATTGGTGCAGACATAGATGAAGGGGTCAGAATACAGAGTCCTGAAATAGACCCATACATAAATGTTCAAATGATGTTTGAGAAGGTGCAAAAGTAATTAAGGGGGAAAAGGATAATCTTGTCAAGAGACTGTGTGAGAATAACTAGATTTCAATAATGGGAAAATGAGCCTAAACCCTTACCTATACCAAAAGCTAAATGAAAGAAGATTACTTCAAATGAGTCACAGATTTAAATGTAAGAACCAAAACTACAAAATTTCTTGAATTGAAAATAGAAAATCTTTGAGACCTTAGGGTAGTCAGGGATTTTCTACATAGGAAATAATGTAAACAGTGAAAGAAAAAACACTGATAAATTGGGCTCCATCAAAATGTGTGCTTCTGTTCTTTGAAAGATATTAAGAAAACAACAACAAAAAGCAATCTACAGTGTGGGAGAAAGTATTTGCAAAATGTATCTGAAAATGACTTGTGTCCAGAATATACTAATAACTCATTCAACTTGTTAATAAGACAAATAGTATAATTGAAAAAATGGGTAAAAAAGATGTATGAATGACTAGTAACACATGAAACAGTGATATTAGTTATCAGTGAAATTCAAATTAAATCACAGTGAGTTAATATTTCATCACAACTAGTATGGCTTATTGAAATAGAAAATACTGACCATAGTAGTAACTGGAATTATTATACATTGGTGTTTGAAATACATAAAATGGCACAATTCCTTTGGAAAACTGTAGAAATTTCTTAAAAAGGTAAACCTATACTTCCCATATGATGCAATAATCCTACTCTTAGATATTTACACAATAGAACTGAATGTGTATGTCCACACAAAGATTTGTGTAAGAATTTGTATAAGAATGTTCATAACACATTCTTATTATAAATGTTATTTATAATAGCCCCAAACTGGAAGTTACTCACAGGCGCATTAATAGGCCAATGGATGAATATATTGTGGTGTACTACTCATCAATAAAAAGTAATGAGCTATCAATGCAGATGACAACTTGGATGAATTTTGAAAACATTATGCTGAGTAAAAGAATTGACATAAGGGTCCATTCTGTATGATTCCATATTAAACTCTATAAAATACCAAATTTAATGTAAAGTGACAGCAGACAACTGGCTGTTTGAGGCCAGGGGAGGAGGAGGTAACAGGCAAAGGGCTTAAGGGAACCTTTTGAAGTGTTGGAAATACTTCTTGATTGTGGTGGTGCTTAGGGGTGTTTGTTGTCAAAATTTATCAAACTACCCTTATAATGGGTGTATTTTTTACTATATGTAAGTTATACTTCAGTAAAGAAGTTTCTTTTTTAGTGCTTATCAAATCTGGCTGTACTTTAGAGTCATCTGCTAAGCCTTTTAAAATGCACATTCTTCTACTTCATGTCCTACCCAGGGAACCAATCTCCATCAATGGACTGCTTATTTGAGGTTTTTCAAAGTTTTAGAGGTGATTCTGATTCTGAGCGGGACTTCTTTGCATGACTCTTCATTCTTTAGATTCCCAGAGCCTAATAAAGTGAAATTTTAGTTGTAAAATTTGTTACTGATCTTTTCATGTTATTCACTTCTCCACTTTAATTTATGGCTTTAAAAAGAACTTTAAATCTATTTTACTTACTTTGAGAGTTTGCTATTCTTAATATAATTACATTGTCTTAATAGAAAGTATAAGAAAAAAAACATTTTCTCTTTATGCCACATTTTCTGAGTATATGAAATGAGTAGTTGAAATGTCTCAGCTAGTCCTCTAATCTCATACTCTTTATTACTAATGATTTGATGCATATTCCAGCTATTTTTCTAAGCTTATAGAAAAGGGACATATATATAGTATTATATATTTAATAGAAAATACTGACCATAGTAGTAACTGGAATTATTATACACATAAACAGTATGTGTTGATACCTGCTCTGTGGCAGTTGTTATACTAGGTCTTGAGGGTAATGAGCCAGACACATCTGCCCTCCTGCAACTTGCTGTGGGTGGTGGGGGTTTGGAATATAAGAACTTAAACATATACTATTAAACTGTAGTAAGTATTATAGAAGACGACTATAGAATGTTATGAGAATATGGTGTAAAAATTAAAACCTTTTCTGACCCTCCTCACCCTAGTTCAGATTCATGCTTTGAGATGTTTGGTTTTTGAAAGCATTTAATACTATTTAGATAGTATGTTGATCATTTGGGTAAAACATCTTGCACAATGGACATCCTCTTAGTAAAGCACTATTTTTTTCTCTTATTATTAGTGTTTTTGTATTATTTGAAAATACAAAGAAATAGTAAGTATTTTACTTCAGTGACAAAAAATTGGAAAAAAGATTCATTCATCAAACAGTCCTAAATACCTCCCTGAGTCTTACTCTGTGATTGTCACTCAGTTAGGTGCATTACAATATTTTTTCACTAAAACAAACAATAGCAACTTGAAAATAGCAATTTGTTCTAGAAGTATATTTTTGGTGATGGTGCTGGGTTATTAATGTTGGGATGTGTCACACGTAAGTGTTTTTCAAATTACACAAGATACTAATCATCTTCATTGCTAATGAGATTAGGTGGGATGGACATTTTGAGCTTTGGTAAGTTTAGGAAATGCAGGGATAAAGGAAGTTAAACATTTTTATTTTTACGGTTTTTCAGAATCTTCAATATGTTGCATCCTGAATCTTTAAGATGGAACTGTAGTACACAGTGACACTATTTGACCATGACTTTTCCTTTTGCCTTATATTTCTATGAATGAATCTCTACAGAAAGAAATCCCCAGTAACATCTAAAAGAAAAATCATAGTGGCATATTTTAAAGATGCACAATGATTTTGATATAAAAACGTTATTGTTTAAGTAGACATGATTTTGTCACAAGCACTAGATATATATTTTATACTTAGTATACTGAGCTTTGGGGAATTAATTTAATTTATACATCATGAAAGAATCAGTTCTCCATTCTTGCATCCTTAACTAGGAGAGGAAAGTGAAATTTATGTTTTTCTTATATTTCAGAACAAAGTAGAAGAGATGACTTAGAAGCTTTAGGTCATATGTTCATGTATTTTCTGAGAGGCAGTCTTCCTTGGCAAGGTTTGAAGGTAATTGTTTTTGTGTTGCTTAAATTTTGTATTGCTTAAATATTGTGTTTCATTAATTGTTAAAATATTTTTATCCTTTTTTCTAAGTATTTAGTGTTAAAATTACCACCTTCTCAAGATTGATTTTTTTCTTTGTATTTTAGGCTGACACATTAAAAGAGAGGTATCAGAAAATTGGAGATACAAAACGAGCCACACCAATAGAAGTTTTATGTGAAAATTTTCCGGGTAATGAATTGCCACACTGATACATATATTCATACACAGGAAACCAGACTGTTAATTTTCATTGCTTAAGTTTATAAATACTTTTTCTTGTGCTTTGAAAAATGAGCTCAAAATATGAGTTAAAAAATGTCAGCATTTGATGCATAGACCACAGGGGCAATTAGTATATTTGCTTTGTAAGATGATGTTAATGGAAGAATATCTTATCTTTTAGTAGTTTGACCACTACCAGTTAAACTATTTTCAATGACATACTTTTAACAACTTCAAATATTTGCTAAGAAATACCAACTATAAAGTTTTGGTGTATAGTGTTAGTCATTTGAGTCTCAGTGTCAGATTCAAAGGAGGTGTGTGATGTATGAGTTAGTCTAGTTTTCAAAGTACAGTAAAGTCTTACAAACCCTACTACTTTTAGGCTAATAACATATTGGGGAGCTTCATAAAAATAGTTTTGCTTTCAGGTAGATTTTTATCAATTCAAATTAAGCCAACTTACTGAAGATTCCTGAATCAGTTAAGGAATAAGAAAAATGTGTTGCCAATGTATTAAAATACCTGTTGTGATTTATACATAAAGTAAAGAAAGAACAAAACATAAAAGACTGAGTTCCTATCTCACTTTGCTATTTGCAGGTTCTCCTCATTATGCTGGTGTTATTATTATCATAATACCAGGTAGCCCTTCCTCAAGTTGGTTATATTATTCATGGAGCAAACCTTAATTATATACTTTACTTTCTTGCTATAAATCCAGAACTAGAAGATAAAATTAGTGGTTGATAGTACTAGCAGTTTAGGTGTAGGCAGATTGGCTATATGTTATTAAGAAGCCTATACACATTTCTACAGGAAAAATGGGGATGCCAAAGTAAACTAATCAAGTGATTAACTAGAGAGTAGAATAGTGAGAGAGTCATGTGAGGAAGGTCACCAGACACCGCTTTCCTTGCACACTGGGCTGTGGGTAATCCAGTTCTTGCTGGCTGTTGTGAATGAATTGGATCAGAAAAGCAGCTGGGTGTTACCTACCATCTCTTACCACAGTGATTGTGCCTGGCTGGTGAAACACTGTTCTGCTTGTTGTCCACCATTTTACCTGTTCATTTTTATGGCTTTTTCCTTCTAGAAAGTATGACCTTTTAAACCAATATTTACCTCTGAGACATTTGGTACTTATAATGGCATGTGGAGATTTATATATTATGAAATAACTGTAAATTATATGACTAGGAATTAAAAGAAGAATTAAGCTGTGGTCCTACGTTACATTCTGAGGTCTGTTATAGCTTAATTTTGCTAGGTTGATTGGTTCGAATACTGTTCATAGCCAAGGTTAGGAATTTGAATCCTCTATTTGTCAGTTAGTGTGTGCAAATGCTTTCACATATAAGTCAATGCCTATCAATATTTTAAGTAATTTTTTAAATTTATGAGCTAGGTATAGTGCTTTGTGATTAATTATGCATTATTAAGTGCTAATTCAACTTATAATACTATCTGCAGTTTCTATTAAAATATTATAGAATAAAAATTTGTCTTTCCCAATGAAATGTAGCAAAAATGTGTTAAATGAAACCTTGCATTTGATTTGTCCCTACCTCCTTTCCTCTCTTCTTTTCCCTCTTTTTATTTCATTGTAATTAAATTCATAAAAATTTAAATTACAATAGAATTTTGTTACCTTTTCATGTTTGTATAATACTTGATGCTTTTAGACATTTAAGTAATTTTATTTTAAGTAATTTTATTATTAAGAGGTATAAAGAAAGTGTAATCAGTAATTTTTATTTCCTTTCTAGAAGAAATGGCAACGTATCTTCGTTATGTAAGAAGGCTAGATTTTTTTGAAAAACCAGACTATGACTATCTAAGAAAGCTTTTTACTGATTTGTTTGACCGAAAAGGATATATGTTTGATTATGAATATGACTGGATTGGTAAACAATTGGTGAGTACTCTGTGCTATATAATAAAAGATTATTTGTAGTACTTACCTTCTTTTTAACAGTACAGATCCTTTAGTTGAAAAGAGTTGAGAACAAATAATTTTTTAAAGAGACTCATCTTATTTCCTTTCTATGGACATTTTAGGTAGCATAATATTAAAATTATTTTTTGGATTTTGTAAAAACCCCCATTTGGACTACCTGCTTTTTGGAGTTATTTTGAACCTTTTATTCCTGATTTAGTTCTTACTGTCAATTATATTCTGATTTGTATATTATTCTAGTGATTATTTTAAAAGGTAAGCTAGTTTTGTTTTTTGTTTACTTCAGTCATCTCTCAAAACATCTGCAATTCAAAAATTTATGTTTTAATTATTCTAGTAGTTTTAGGTTGTATCTTAGAATAGATTGATATTGTGAATTGAAGCACAATTAGCTTTTTAAAACTGTACATAAGTTTTTATAACTTAAAAAATTGTCTTGATTTTAACTGTAGGATCGATGCTCAGCACTTAAAGGCCACATCATTAAATTCTTTCTTTGAAAACTTCTAAAACATTGAATATTTCTTCTCACTGGTATTTTTTTAATAAGCAAGAATGTCTTATAAAATTTTCTTTAATTGTGGTTCACTGTTAGTGAATTTTTATCCATACTTGGAACTAACAAACTCTCAGATTTAAGTATATTTGAAGAATTGTTAAATATTTTGAATAATTAAATGCCTTAAGCATTTAATCTTTATTTTCTTAAAATCCAAAGTGACCTCAATATATACATAGTATCTATGATGCAAATCTGAATAAACTTTGATTAAAGTATTTATATTAAATTTTGAGTTCCATTTGAAAATTAAAAATTTTTGTCTCTTTTGAGTCAAGTTATTGACAATAAGCATTTTTATTTATTGAAAAAATTTTTCCTTAATTTTCTTATATAATTATTTTGTTTCTACATTAGCTTTAGAAATGACAGACATAAACAAATGCACTGTCATTTTTTCTTATATGAAAATGTGACCTGAAAGTAATGACAGCATTAGGTCTTTTGTTGCTATAAAAATAAATACTTGAAAAGTATTTATAAATATTTTGAAAACACTTTGAAAAAGTAACTATGTTCTCTTTGCTTTAGCTTATTAGCTCAAACAACATATTTTGAGAATGGTCTTTTCTTAAGGTCTTATTTTAAATGTCTTTCATTTTTTCCTTGATTCTTTTTAAGCAGATAAATGATTTTATTTATTTATTTATTTATTTATTTATTTATTTATTTATTTATTTATTTATTTATTTATTGAGAGGGCATCTCTCATATTTATTGACCAAATGGTTGTTAGCAACAATAAAATTCTGTATAGGGGGCTCAATGCACAATCATTAATTCACCCCAAGCCTAATTCTCATCAGTATCCGATCTTCTGAAGCATAACAAACAAGTTCTTACATGGTGAACAGATTCTTACATAGTGAATAAGTTCTTACATGGTGAACAGTACAAGGGCAGTCATCACAGAAACTTTCGGTTTTGATCATGCATTATGAACTATAAACAATCAGGTCAAATATGAATATTTGTTNTAGATGATCAGGTGTGTGCCTATAGACTAAGTATTAATCCAAGCTAGACAAGGGCAACAAAACATCCACGGATGCAGATTTCTCTCAAAACAGGGGGGTGGGGTGAGGTTCTAAGCCTCACCTCTGTTGATCCCCAATTTCTCACCTGATGGCCCCCCTGCGACTGTGCCTGTCTTAGGTTGTTCCTCCCTTGAGGAATCTTACCCGTCTCTGGCTAACCAATTATCTTCCGGGGCCATACAGGGAAATGTAAAGTTGGTAAGTGAGAGAGAAGCAATATTGTTTGAAAAGGTTAGTTTTTTACTTCTTTGCAGATTTATGCCCTGTGGCTTTTATGCCCAGCATTTGTCTTGAGGTATCTTTACCACTTGGAAGAATTATGATACTCGGTAAATTCGATCTGAGGCACGAATTCTATTTAAGGGTTGTAATAGATAAATGATTTTAAACATGACTTTTGGAATAGACTATATTGATGCTAATTGTTATTGTGTTGTAGCCTACTCCAGTGGGCGCAGTTCAGCAAGATCCTGCTCTGTCATCCAACAGAGAAGCGCACCAACACAGAGATAAGATGCAACAATCCAAAAACCAGGTTTGCTGCCCTTTTAGATATGGAATGTTGGGATTTGCTTCTGTTTTACCTACTGACAGTTTGTAAATATATTTGGTATTTTACTGTGTTCAGATGACAGCTTTATATATGTGTGTATACAAACACATGTAGATAGATATTCAAGGATTTGAAATTTGTATTTTTTCTCTAATTGATAAAACAGATTATATACACATACATAAATACATGTATTTTCTATAAACTATTTCCCTTAATACTTACTATTTATTAGTTTAATAATCACATTAAAATGTTTAATCATAAATTAATAATTAATGGTGTCAGTTAATATAAACTTTGAGCAATTCTTGATATTCTATTAGAATGGAAGTATTTAGATACTCTGTTAGAATAAATTGAAATAGCAGTTAATTTTTCTGACTATAATTCAGTAAATTTGCTGAGTTTCAGCTGTTTGAAAGCTGTTATGCTACACGTTACAGAAATGCAGAAATAAGGAAAACAACATAACTTATAAGAAATGAGTTTGTAATGAGTGGCTAAGAGCTCACTTAGTCTCTGGAATCAGGCATGTCTGGTTATGACTTGACCCTGGGCAAATTACTTAGTCTCTCAAGCCTCGGTTCTCTTATTTATGAAATAGAAATAATGTATGTTAATTCCTAGCATATAGTAAACTTTCAGAAAATCTCAACTTCCCTGGCTGGTACTACTGTTTTCATGAGTATTACAGTAAATTCACAAATACTGTATTATCAAACATAACAAGATCTGTCACGTGAAACATTAATAAAATACCATGGAGTGTCATTGGGTTGTGTGGGATCTTTTAAATGGTTTTTGGAGAAGGTGGCTTTGGGATGAGCCTGGAGAATGAATGGAATTTTTTAAGGCAAATGAAGGAATTAGGGCATTCTGGGGAGAGTGAACAGTATAAAATAAGCAGATATTTAAGAATGTATACTTTGAGGTATAGCAAGCAGTTCAATTTGTTTAGAGCAGAAAGTAGGTTCAAGACAAGGCAGAGAGGATGGATTGAGAGTGAAGTGTTTTATTTTCTGGGTAAGGTAATTGAAAGCTGTTGAAGTTTTTCAGCAATGTTTTTATTTTTCTCTTTTTTGTAAAAAGATGTATTAAAGCTATCTTTGACATAAAAATATTTGCCATTACTGTGAGTTAACCTGTGTCTTTAGAATTTTTCAGTTATAACCCTTTTTGGAGAAGGATAGTACATTTTCTTATTTTACTTTGACATCTTTTCTCCCATCAGAGTTCAAGTGAGGGTTAAAAAAAGATGAAAAATCAAAGCAAAAAATGCAACTTATTAAAAATCATGCTTAGTTAGGAAATATTTAACAATATTATGCTTTAAAGAAGAGCCAGTTAAAAAAAAACTCATTTTAGAATTTTACCTTAGAGAAATTGGAGCAATAAAGTGTCTTGTACATAAATTACTTTAAAGATAAATTACTGCCAGTTGATAGCTTAAGTTCTCTGATAAGATGCTGTGTATAGAAAGAAATGGCTCAGAAATCAAGACGAGGAGTTTGTCTTTTAAGAGTTAATTTCTCAAATGTGCTTGAACGAAGGCCAATAATTCATGTTCTCTGAGGATCTCTGCTTGGATTGTTAGGTATTGTAATAAGTAAAACTCTTCTTTTATTGTTGAATTAAATTAGAATGAAATATTTTAGAGGTTAACCTGCTGCATGTTTCAGACATGTCTTGTTAGCTAGATTGTGAGCTTACTGAGGGTGGGAACCATATTTTTTCATGTAGTTCCTTGTTGTACTAAATATGTGGAGTCAGTTTTTTTCAGGAAATCCTTTAAGATAGTTTATATATTGAATTTGAACTCTGGATATGTGGGTTGTCATTACAGAAAAGTTTTATATCTAGGAAAAAATTTTTAAATAATTAAAAAGAATTAAATGGTTTAAGTTGTATGAGAAACCATAAATAGTTCACCATCCCCAAAGAAGGAATATTTATTCTTTAAATGACTGAAGCCTTTGTAATGTCCCTAGATAAAAATTTGGAACCTAGAATCAGTGGTTAAAGTTCAGGGGATCCTGAAATTTTATAGGAAGTGTTGGGTGTATATAAGTGTTTATTCTGAAGAGAGGTTGCATAGCTTTTACTATCTTTTTAAGGAGATTCATGACCCCTAAATATTGCCTGTTGTCCTAGGTAACATTTAAATAATTGCTTCAGTTTTAGCATCATTTTTATTTATTCATCTTGATATCATCTAATTGATTTCAGTGTAGATTAAAAATCTACAAAATTCTTATAATAAATTTGGAGGGTTTAATGAAAAAACATAGAACTGTTATAATTTTTTGATGACATCATGTAACATGGTATGTAAATTTTGCATTATACAATTTAATTAAGGAAGCTTAGTGCCAGAACATTTATTTATTGTGTCTACTTGAATTTAACATCTCTTCTCCCAAAGGTTTGCTCTGGTCACATGCTTAGGCTTCTTATAGCCCAGTGTACTTGGCACTTCTTGGCAAGATTTTTTTGATTTGGGTTGAAAAGGAAGAAAGAAAAGGAAAAAAAGAAAGAAAAAAAAGAACACTAAAAGCTTTAGAGCATGTGTAATTGTGGTAGGGAACTAGGTAGTATTATTGGAAGAACAGTAGGCTCTGAGAGTGAACCCCTGCTACTCCATGCTACCTGTGTGAGCTTAGGGAAAGTGTTTAACTTCTCAATGTCTTCATCAGTAAATTGCAGATCATACTATGTATGTGAAAATGGAAAAATACATTGAAAGCAGCTAGTGCAGAACCAAACGCGTAATGTCATATATTATATTCCTCCCCCTTTTTTAGTAGTTCTGTCCACATTTCCCTGAATTTTTTGATGACATCATGTAACATGGTATGTAATTTTTGAAACTGACTCCTGTTAAGCAACTACTCCTAATCTTGCTAGTAATCTTTACTAGTTTGTGGTTATTGCCATGTGGATTTGCCAAGTCATCTAGAAGCATCAAGAATTTTCAGCCTGTCAGGGAACTGGCTGGGTTCCATAATTTAAGCCAGATAAAAACAGATAAAGGAAGCAAAGGGATTCATGTATGTAGGTTTGTCACTTAAAAATTGTTCGTCATATCTTCATATTATTCTGTATAGCACTTGTCGCTTCTCAAAGAATTTTGTTTTCTCATATTATTCTCACAGTCAGAAACAGGTTACTAAGCAAGAGAGAAAAGTTTTCTAGAATCCTGAGTACAGCTATTTCAGGACTGTCTTTTGTACCTTGCTAGAAGTAGTTCAGAAAACCAATTGGAGGTGGGGGCCTCTACTGTATAATAGAGTGGATGGCTTTTTGGTATGCTGATAATTTATTTGGAGTGCTTTCTTGGACATGTCATTTTTACCTCCCTAGTTCTTTATTATCTTCATTGTTAGAGGGTGGAGTCTCTGATATCTAAAGTCCTCGTACTTTTAAAATTTTATTTTTATGGTTGAGACTTACATAATTATAGCAATTTAACTAAACTCTCCACATTGAATATGCAAAGAGAACTGCATCTGTGATGCAGGATAGTCAGGGTATATTAAATTTCCTTTTATACATTTGTTTTTTATATTATGAGGATGAGATGTTTAACATATTGGGTTTTTCTTCTTCCATGCATGCCACATGCATTAAATAAATGGCAGTCGGCAGACCACAGGGCAGCTTGGGACTCTCAGCAGGCAAATCCCCACCATTTGAGAGCTCACCTTGCAGCAGACAGACATGGTGGCTCGGTACAGGTATTTTCTGATTTTTGCATGAGTGATTATTTCCCAAATTTATACAACTAACCCTTTTTTGGAACTCATGGCATGATTTCATATCCTAATGAAAAACTTGTTGCTGAACTCTCCATAATTCTATTCCTTTGTATTTAACCAAAAAGCAAAATTAACATGGTCTAGAAAGGCTACCAGGGATACTAAGATTTTGCCTTAGTTTATTTTTGTAAGCATAGGCAACAATATTTAAATAAGTCATATTCACAACAGATTAGAAAAATAAACTGTATTACTTGAAATATGTGTTAAACTTGATTTTCCATTAGTAAGCTCAATCTTTTTTAATGCTTTAACTAACAGAACATTTTTTGTATCTTTTCTCTTTCATTGATTTTTTTCTTCTCAAACTTAAGTCACTTATGTAGTAGATACCTAACTTTTTTCATCCTTAGTACTCAGAATGTACTTCCCAATTAGTTGGTCAAATAAACGTGACCCCAATTTTTATGATTGTGTATTTTGTTTGTACTTGTAGAAAATAGCAGATGGAGAAAGTAATGTCAAGGACAAGTATTTATTAGATCTTCCCTTCCATTTTCTAGATATTTACAGAAATTTAAAGCAGTACTTTATGTTTCTGATGTGTTCCTTTTTCCCCCTTTTCTATACATCTGGAGGTAGCTAGTAAATTCTGCCCTTCCATACCCCCTAAATTTTAATCTTTTATGTGTATTGTAGAAACAAGGAAAGATTGTTAAGTCTCTTATGTCTTTTAAAATGCCAGTTTAAGGTAATCTAAGTGCTGGCTTAAAGTAATTAAGATGATAAATGTTTTCTCGTTTCATTTCAATTTAGAGGCTTTAAAAGTTTGATTTTTCTTCTTCATATTTTGATGTGACCAATTTTCCATTGTTTTACCAAATTTGCATTCTTCTTATTTACTGAATCGATGCTCTGTTTTACATTCTTTCTTGATTTGAATTCTTAAAGTCAATTCTTGATTAAATGTTTTCCTCACCATTAAATTTTAGAGGTAATTTAAATAATGTAACCAGATATTTTTGTACAACTTTGTAGTCTATGAAATTTTGGCCATGTGTAACAGAAGTACTTGCAGAATCCTGTAAAAGTTTAGAGTGAGGGACTCACAGGCAAGGTTGCCTGAATTGTAGAATTTTTTATGACCTCAATTCATATTGTTGGAAAGTCCATTGAGTAAGTTTATTTAATCGGAGTGTGTTGTGTACGTATCTGTAGACATTTACATGTTTCTGAGTGTTGTATGTCATTATCGCAAGTGTCTTGCTTGCTCTTGCTCACTGTTCAGGGAAATCAGCAGCATTTAAAGTACCATTGAAAAGCTTTCCTACCACTCCTGTACCATTGCCACAGATTTGTTTTCTTGGCCTCTCCTTACTCTGTGGGATTCCCAGAGGTGGCTTATGGGGGGTCTCTTTGGGTTCTCCAGGGGTGAATGAAGTGATTTTTGGCTCATCACTCCAGTACTTTATGTTCTGTTTTTTTCTTGTTTTCAAGAGATTTTTCAACTCTGCTCATTTCTCATGATCTCCTTAAAACTTTTCTTTGTATAGGGACTAAAGCTGGCTTCATTCTAATATTCAATAAGTGATCAATTTTACTACTGAATTCTGGTAATACATTGATAAAAAACCATTTTCATTGATTTCCTGAATATATTTTACAATATTAGCCTGATATGATGGACATTAAACAGTTTGACTGTGATGAAAAATTTACCAGCAGCCTAAGTAAATTCCTGAATCCAGCCCCACCCCCAAATATTGAATTTATAATTTATATGCTACCAACTTTCAAATTTTGCAGTTATAAGATGACATTTGTATACTTGGATTAATGAAATCGTAATTTAAAACTAGTAAGAGGAAAGAAGTTTGCCTAATCTAATCTAATGTGATTATTATAATAATTGAGTACTGTATTTGAATCTGATTGAAGGAAGAAGGGGGAACAATGTGTTTTTTTTTTTCATTGTCTGATAAAGGAAAGAAAGAGAAAAAATCTTTTTACTACTACAAAATACTGAAAAGAATGCTTAAGTTCTATGTATCATGGTCATTAAACCACCTGTTGGACAAAATTTCAATCATTGGCTTTGCAGAAGATTCAAACACTTTAAATGAAAATTAAAAAAAATTATCCTAGACAACTACTAAGGGTATATATCATCAATAGTTTCTCGCGAAAGGCAGTGGCTGGTTATCTAGTAATAAAATGTGATCAGACTTCGGGCATTCAAGCAGAACCAGCTGTTACCTAAAACGAGCTGTTTTGGGCCTACGTCTTTCATCCCTCACCTATCACTACACTCTTCCATAGATCTGAGAATTGCTCTCAGCACGGCACCACAAAGCATTCCAGGCTGGTTCCAGTTGACATGCAAGCTGATACCTCTTGCCATTTTGACCTACAGAAAGATCCTCAGATATCATTATGTCAGATGTGCTTTTAATAGGAACTGAATAGTGGAGTCTAAATTTGAACTCCTTGTCTTCCGTATGTTACAGATCAGACATATAAGTTACCAAGTTGGTTTCACTGTGGTTAAGAGAACAGCCCTGGAGTCAGATTTGAGTTCAAGTTCTGTTCCTTGTATTATTCATCAGCAAAATAGAGATATTGATAATACTTATCTTTCATGGTTTTGTTGTGAATCTAATTTAAAAAAGTATTTAGCATAGAGGCTTGGGCTTAGGAAGTGGTAAATAGTAGGATAATCCATTGCTTTTACTTATTAATTAGTAAATTAATAAACTTGATAGTATTTTTATCCATTTTGGGGAAGTGAAATGATGAGGCATGGCCCAAAGTAAGCACTGTCAAATGGAATTTACCTAATGTTATATTCTTTCTTTTTAATGAAATCATGTTAATTCTCTAACTGAAAGGATACAGCTATACAATTTAATAAACTTTACCCACTTAGGAGATTAAGAATATTTAAATATCTGAAGAGTTTATTTTGAATCTGTTCTTGGCTTGTATTTGTTTTGGAAAAGCTCCTAAGGGAATCAAATGTGCCCTTCTCTGCTCTCCTGAGAATTATTGGTAATATGGCTGAGAAACAGACCTACCACTTTCAGTTTTGTGACCATTCTTTATTCAGCAAATATATGTATAACTGTCTACTGGGTGCTAAGCACTGTGTTAGGTTCTTTGACTAAAAGGGAGAATAACAGATGATGCCCATCCCCATGAACCTTGCAGTCTTTGGGAAGGGCTCATAACAGGCCTTTTGGGTAAGTGGGGAAACACAGGTGCTGTAGAACATACAGGAGAAGCACCTAACCTGGATTTAGTGGGTTAAGATTTGCTGGGAAAAGTGGTATCTTTTTATATTCGATCTTTTCACATGTTTTCAAAGTGAAGAATCAGTAGCAGGTAGCAGTTGGAGAGGGCAGAAGGGGTCAGGAGAGGAGTGTACCAGACAGTGAAAACAACATGCAGAAGGTTGTGATGGAAAGAGTGGTGCACCGAGGAATGGAACGCAATTCAGTCAAGCTGGGTGTGCTAAGAAGTGAGGCTGAGGGATAGGCAGGAGACAGATCATGAAGGACCTCACGGGTCTTCTTATTACATTTGGTCTTTATTCTGTGATTATAGGTTAAGGTTTACTTTTGCTGGAGACTAGATTGAAGGGAGACAAGTTTAAGTCAGGGATATAGCTATCAAAGTCTGTCACTGAGGGAAAACGATGGGAATTGGAGATGAAGATAAATGAAAGGACTTGAAAGATAATTAGAAGGTAGCGTTTAGTTGGGTGTGGGGCCTGAGGGGAAAGGTTCAGTTATCCGTTTTTGATATGTTTTTACTAGGCCAATCAGGGTCTCCAAAATTAGGTGTTAAAATGGCAGCAGAGAGCACTCACATCCAGCTCCAGGGTGGCCGGGCCCTTCACGGCAGCGCACGCCTCTGGCTCAGTGCTCGCTCACACCCTGCTCTGTAAAGCTGAGAGGTGATTGCGGGCAGAGGGAAGCAGGCAAGTACTAAGGGCACTACTGAGAAACTGCCCTGCATGGTCTGGTATGCCTCCAGATTGTTTGGAAATTTCCCATCATTGTACATCTTTGGTTTGAATTTAAGGTATAATGTGACTCTGAGCATCTGGGGAAAAAAGGGCAGAGTCATAGATGGTACAGACATTTTGTGTAGCCAAGCATTGTTGCTGAAAATGAAAGAATAACATTTATTGTTGTAATAGGCAGTCTGACATTTTATTCAGTATAACTTCGCAAGTAGAAGTACAGGTGGAGATGACAAAAAGAATTAGACAAATGTATCTTGAAATGGTAAGAAAGCATAGAGCTAAAAGTCAGATGTCCTATCTCAGTCATTCTCCATTATGCGGTTGGAGTATCAAGAATGTAAATTAAAACTCTAGCTGTAGTTTTTAAAATAAGTAAAAAAAAGTTCATTTTATATAATATGTGTGAACTATAGCACAGGTCCAAAACAAACTTGAAAAGTATTCTTTTAATGATATCTCATTTACCTAGTGTGCTTTCTTACAGATGACTTTCAGGAAAAGCTGATTGTATAAGTACAATGTATAATGTTTTTATATTTCTAATATATTCATTGGGTAGATCGAGAGCTTGTTAATTAATATATTGAGCCTTTACTGAGCACTTAGTAACAAGTTTATAAGAACTCAAATAGAAATTAGGAAGAGAGTAGTATAACTAATTTGTAAGAATTTGTTATATTTGGAAAATATATTAATTGGCCTCTAATACACTGACTACAAAGATACTGTGTGTTATCTTTGTCCTCAAAAAATCAGTGAGAATGACTTCTTTTGGGATTAGATTGGGTGGACAGGCCCTGCAAACCATTGTTTATTTCCCATACTCAGCTGCAGGCTGTTTCCACACCCCTCCCCTTAAAGTCTGATATACTAATAGTGAAACTGCAGTCTGGTTGCCTCCCCACCCCCTGTCTTTTAATCTCTTAAAATAAGAACTCCACCAAGTTTTACCAAAGTGGGAATATCAGAGAAAATTTCTTTAAGAACAAAAATCCCTGTAAAATACCTGAATTATATTTTGAAATGTCAAACCTTAAAGCATCTGTCATTTTTAGATGTACTTTCATTAAGGAAATCAGCATCAGAACATTAATATTTCAGAGACACTTATGTTCTAGTTCAAGTTACAATCCTAGAAATATCACCGAAGTAGAATCATTCTTTAGATAATGTGTATGTATTTGTTTGATTAATTGGTTGATTTAGGTTACCAGGAATATAATGACACATTATTTATAATATTATGATCTTTGCTTTTTCTTCATGAAATCCCTTTCCAAAAGACCATTAATCTTCCTACCTGAAAGTAACTTTAATGCCATGATACACTCCCAGTGTTAAGTAGGCCAATTTTACAGGAGAACCACATTGATCTGTTCTGACCCTGGGATATTGGCCTTCACTCAGAGGGTTAGGGAATCTGGGAAGCCAAGGAAAATTACAAGAAGGCAGACATGACTTCCTTCTGGTCTGGTTTAGATAGAATGGGATTTGAAATATTTCACTGAAGTAGTGTATTAATGTTAAGTATGACTTTGTGTGAACTGCAGCAAATAAGATTATATATATAATTACAATGCATATATGGTTTCTGTTGCTGGAAATTTAGAATGCCTAGGTTTTACATTCTCAGTTATGTTGTTTAAAGTAAGGGAAGACAGCATGAGAGGAGCTGCCTGTACTTTGAGGTGGGGTCCCTCCAACTATCTAGGGCCATTGAACAAAAAGGAAGAAAAATAACTTGTTGAATATTATGTCAAGGGAATAACGATGGAAATTGTTCAGCGAACTGTTCAGAATATCTGCAGCATACAGGGCACTCTGCTAAGGGCAGCAGAGAATACAAAATTATAAGGTAAGCATCCTGCTTTCTAGCTCCTTTAATTCAGTGTAGGGGCTCTGACATTTTAAAATTTAAGAATAAAGAACAAACTTAGAATGATAATTAGACCAAATAAATGATTTTTAAAATGTTTTCAGAAAGAGGGAGAAATAAAGAGAAAAATTTGACATGGAGCTCAATAGAATGACAGAAAGGAGGAACCCCAGAAGCACAGAGGCAGGCTTCAACATAGGAGTATTCCTTCCTTGGGCACTCTCTGGAGGCGATCAAGGCAGTTCGTGTGTTTTCAGCTGTATGCACAAATGCAGTGTCCATTTCTAAGTACTTGTTCCTCAAGAGACAGGAAACTGAACCTCTGCAATTCCTGAATTGATCCAGATATATTGATTGATTTCTCCCTAACTCTCCCCTGGAGTTGGGGAGAGAGACCCATTTCTTCACAGTCGATTAACAGGTCTGCAAGGACAGGGGTGTTTGTGTGTCTTGTTTCCAGGCACTGTTCTAGGAATTCCAAGTTCCTAGAACAGTGCCTGGCCCATTGTAGCCTCTCATTAATAACTTTAGACTTAATTAAGCTTTAGAAATATGGGGCTCTATAAAATGCAACTCTTTTAATAAAACTCTGGTAGTCAGCTGTCAACTCTGGTGCCCAGGCCTTTGATATGTCAACATTTTTTTTCCTTTTTTCTTTCTTTTTTTTTTTTTTTCTAATAAAGAGATCAAATAGGGGAAGCATCAAAGGTGATTCTTAGAATGTGAGCGTGGAGGTCTGGGACGATGGTAGGGCTTTAATAGAATTTGGAACCGAAAGAGTAGGAAATTTAAGGGGGAGTGTGATAAATTAGGTTTTGGAATGGTGTGAGGTGTCAAAACTTGGTCTAGCTAACCAAATACATGGATGTGTGGTTAGGCTTAGGGAGGCCTTTACATAGAGGTAATACTTGAGCTGTGATTGTTGGTAAGACTGATAGTAACAGTGATGGACACCCTTTATTAAGTTCTCACTTTATGCCAGCCACTGTGTTTCATTTATTGATTTTATCTCATCCTCATATTGCCCTTATTAAGTAGACACTACTGTTTCCTATTTTATAGTTGAGAGCACTGAGATTTAGCAAGATAAGGAATCTTTCCCAGGGTCCCATAGCTGATAATTGTTAGAGCAAGGCCTTCAGAGTAGACCTGACCTTACTCCGAAGTCATCAGCTGGTGCCAAGTGATAGAGACATAGGAAAATGAGGACTGAGCAAAGACCACTGAGTATGTTTTTCTGGGAATCACTGGTAACCTTCAAGAGAATTCTTCTTAAGAGTTCTGAAGGTGGAACAGAGTACAGATTGCAAGGAGTTTAGGGATAAATGAATGGAACATTTCGTAAAAATATAAGTGTAAATTAAGACTACGGTTTTCAAGAGTTTAGGGAAAAGGAAGAAACGGGACAGTAAGGGGGACAGTAAGGTGACTTTGTACAACCAAGAGAATGTGGGACTTTTGATATGTTTTTAATTTTATTTTAGGATTTCATTCATGCATCATGCATTTATTAATTTCAACAAATATTTATTGAGTGCCTATTCTGTGCCAAGCACAGTGGGGAGATATCATAGGGACTAGCACAAGGTTCCTGCTGTCATCCAGCCTGATTTTAATGGAGGTGGGAGTGGGTGTCAAGAAACAGTCACTCAACCAGAAAAACATCAACATTGATAAATGCTGTACAGAGAGTTAAAAAAATTCACTTGCATAGCATGAAAGAGTGTGTCTGCATGGATGTTTTAGATTGTATGATAGAGAAGGCTTGCTTTAGAGATATTCTCTGAGAATCTGAAAGATAAAACAACCACCAATAAGCAGGAAGAGAATTCCAGGCAAGAAATAGATAATGCCAAGGTCTTACGGTGGGAATAGGCTTGACATACTGGATGGAGGCTAGCGAACAAAGGTATGAACTCAGAGAGGCAGGCAGGATTCAGATCCTGTGGGGCTTTGTGAAGTAAAGTAAAGAGTGTGGATCTTTATTCTAAGTGAAAAGGGAGGTCAACACTTGAAGAGTTTTAAGCAATTATACACGACCTGGTTTACATCTTAGAGTGAGCATCCTGGTTGTGTGGACAGTACATTAGTGGTTGAGGTGGGCGGATGCATGCAAGTGAAAGCAGAAGACCAGTTAATAGGTTTTGCTCATAATCAAGAGATAATGGTGGCCTGCACTGATGTCCTGGTAATAATAGAGGTGGGAGGAACCAATTTGGGATGTGTTTTGGGGAATATTCAATAGGATTTAGGCATGGGATTTAGATCAAAAGGAGGAATCACAGTGATTTCTGGATTTGGTGATTGAACAACTGGGTGAGTGAATGGGCAATATAAGAGGGAGACCTGAGCATGATTACAGAATAGAAATGAAGGATCCATTCATTGGGAGGAACAGCGTGGAAGTGTGCAAGGGAAATTATTCATGATGTAGCAAATTCTCAAAAGAGACAGGCACACAGGAGAGAACTGACTGGGTCATAAGCGTAGGAGTTAGCCTTAAAATACAGACGGAAGGAGGTAGAGGACAGACTTTTCAAGAAAAGCAAATACTGAATGATCTTGATCTTTAATAAAATGCTAGACCAGTTACTATATATTCATGTAGGAATGACTACATACTAATTGTTTGGTGTTCTTCATGTTACCTTCTAATTTAAATACTTGAACCTAAATTATGTTTATCATTGTTTAACCAGTTACTTTGCGAATAGTTCATTCCTTTTTTGTTCTTTTCGGCAGGTTGTTAGTTCTACAAATGGAGAGTTGAACACAGATGACCCTACTGCAGGCCGTTCAAACGCACCCATTACAGCCCCTACAGAAGTAGAAGTGATGGATGAAACCAAGTATGTATTCATTTTGCTTGTTTAAGTAACTCTTTGTTCTTAAACTATGCATGTTTGCGGACTGTAGTCACGTACAATTATTTTAGTAAATTTTTTTCCGGGAATAGGTGCATGCAAAACAAGTGGTGTGTTTAATTATTTTAATCACCAAGTTTAAGATAGTGCTATTCCAGTAAATATTTTAATAATACCAAAAAAGTTATTAAAGAACTATGCTTGCATTCTTATTCAGAATTAACAGCATATTTTTAGCTTTTTATTTTTAACAGTGTTGATACATGAAAGTTAGAGCTATACTATAGATGCTGGTTTTTTTTTTTTGTAAGTGTAAGAATAAACAGATTTATGTATGCTGCATGCATTAATTAGTTTTATATTAGTTTCTTTGTGAATGTAAATTATAATGATGCTTGGAAAAAATTAAGCATGAAAAACAATGTGATAATTTCAGTATGGGCTGTTTCTGATGATCTCTCTCTCTCTCTCTCTTTCTTTTTCCTTGTATTTTTTTTTTTGTGTGTGTGTGTATAGCTGCCAGAAAGTGTTGAACATGTGGTGAGTTCTCAAGTGTAGGCAGGCAGAAATAGCTCCTCCGTTGACTGTAATTTGAAAGATTTAGCAGCATTTTGCATTTTTTTGAAAACATATGTTTCAACATATTATAATTGGTAAATGTTGGTCAAAAATATTTGCTGTCCTTTACGTTAGCTCTGAAAAGCAAGAAGTAATTGTTTGAGGAGCTCTTTTGCCTGCTGCCGCTTTTTTGCTTCAAGAGACATAGACTTAGGGGCACTTTTTAATCGAGTGGATGAGACCCTGACCCTGCTTGAGCTTGTGCATTTGCTTTGTAACACAGAGGCTTTATTTGCTATTGTAATTAGAAAGACAGGCTTTTGAGTTAAGCTTTTTTTCCTGTTTGTAATTGTTAAATACACACAGCAGACCTCCTACCGCCACCCTAATAATATTAAAACAGTAGTTTGTTTATTAACTATTGCCATTGAATACACATGGTACACACTGATAAACTTCATTATAAACTCTTGTCAGAGAGTGTTACAGAAGACTCCTCACCTTAATAGTGCCTGCTAATTTCAGATAGTCTGAAAAATAATATTCCTATGAGTCAAAATAATGCTGAATTGAATCTGTTTTCTGATGTTTGCCTTTAGATGTACAGTAATGTGCTTAAAATGCTTCTCTCAGTTTCAGGACAAATTTGGGTCAGCCATGGAGTGAATAAAGAAAGTTGCTTAGATTAGTAAAGTTTGGAGCATTCTACTCATATACAAAGGGAACCTTGTATAATTTCCAAAATAATGCTCATTTGTGGATGCAAGATATGGGCGCTTGTGTGGATATTTTGTTTTGAAGAACAATGGTCAAGTATCCATTTTAACCAGTTTTGACTATGGAATCTACTGAGAATGTTAGTTACGTGGATTTCAGGATATAATTTGTCAGCTACATATTGGTTTATTCTTTATATCAAAAGTAAAAACAAAGGTTTAATTTGTGCAGTCCTAAGCACAGCTATAAAACAGGTGGCATAAAGTGGCAGGCTATGCACATGTCCTCTGCAGGTGAACGTGGGTGTAGATCCCTGCTTCTGCCACTTGGTGTGTTACCTTCTCCAATCTGTTGCTTTTCCTGTAAAATGAGGCTAATAATATTTATTTCATAGGTTGTTGAGAAAATCAAATGTGATACAGCATTGGCAATTTGTCTGTCACATGGCAGGTACTCAATAGCTATCATCGCCCCTATTTTTATTTTTCCACTTCCACTTGCCAATGACCTTCTCATCTTGTTGTTCTCAGGCTTGTGCTTCTTCCATCACTGTCCCATGTTTTTACTTTTATACCACATTCTTCACTGAAACTGGCTGTCTGCATTCACATCCTCCTAGAGACCTGCTTTCAAGCAAGCCTATTACATTTTCCAGTTATTTATTCGCAAGTTAAACTGTTTGGACTTCAGAACTACCTGATGTTGTCCTTGCCCTTACGCGGATGATAGCTGGCAGGGAGGATTGCAGTTGTGTTAACATATGTATATGACTAGTACACAATAAATGCTATGCAAAGGCACGAGAAACCTGATGGAGCTTATAAAGAAAAAGATTACTTACCAGTAGGGTGATCAAAGCATGCTTTAGGGAAGTAGCTCTGAAGACTGGCAGTGATTTGTTTAGGTGACACAGGGTGGGTGTGTATGTTTACATGTTTGAGTTGCTACCTGTAGGTGTTGGAAGATGAGAAAAAAGGAAGTGAGGTGGGAAGGCTGCTCCTGAAGGAAGGTCCTCTGTTGCTTGGAGCCTCAAGTCCAGGATTCTTGGCATGGCACTAGTGCCCTTCAGACCTGTCAGAGTCTGGCCCCTGCCTTGCTTTCCCAGCCCCATTTTCCATTCTGAATCCTGTATTCCATTGGTTCCTTAAGCTTGCTATTGAGATATTATTCTCTTCATCTCTCTCCTGCTTCTTGAATTTCTTGAAGGCCTTTTTCATCTGCAAATCCCCAGTGCTTAAAGACTATGTGCTTCAATCAATTATTACTAGATAATTGGTTAAACAATGTGTTGTGTCCATGCAGTGAACTATTAGTTGACAATGTAAAATAATGAAATCGAAAACTATGCTAAGAAGCAGATGCAAAAGGCTTCTTTAATATTCTGTAGCACAATATTAAATGATTCCCTTTATATGAAATGTCTAGAATAGGCTGAGATAGACACAAGGAGCCAGTGATTGCCTGGGGCAGGGCAGAACAGGGTGGGCATGACTGCTCATAGGTAACATGCTTTCAGTGTTATGGGGTGAGAAAATGCTTTAAACCTAGACAGTAGTGATGTCTACAAAACTCTTTGAATATATTAAAACCACTGAATTGTATACTCTGAAAGCATGAGTTTTATGATATGTGAATTATATTATTTAAAAAAAATGGATTTCATTCCATGATTTCAGTAAAGCTTTGTTCCAGATGGGTTACAGAAATCCTGAGCATTTCCCTAACTCTCCACTAGTGAAAAACTCTTTTTAAACACAAACATTTTGTTGTTCCTTTAATCTAACATCCTTACAAGTTTATTATTTCTTTCCTCATATCCTTTTAGTCTGTGATTAAGATATATGAGCATGATTTCTTTTTCTAATGTTTTCAATTTCATTATTTCACATTGCATATTATGCTTCTCTTCTCCCTTCAAACACTGTATATGTAGCTAGGAACCTGCTTAGAATTCTTTTCCAAATTTGTTTCCAAGTTCTTTTCTTTCTTTGTACCTCTGATTGGCAGAGACCCCCTCTTACCCCATCCCATTAATAAAATACATCCTATTTTGGACATTTTACCTTCTCAGGTTTCCTGGGATAGTACCTTATGGGGTAAATATATAATTTTTGAATGATGGAAAATACCCTATTCCCCTAGGTATAAAGTGAATCCATTAGTAATGAGATTTTGTCTTACTTTTTTACTGTAGATGAGAATTTTTTTCAAGATAGGTGATACAAATGATAGCACCCTCATCATTCCCATCAAGCTTCCTTATTTTGGTTATCAAGATTTTAGGTAGTACAAAATTATCTTTTTGTTTGTTTCTCTTCCTTTCCCCCTTCTAACATTTACCGAACAGTTATTGTATTTGGTAATACGATGTTTATGAGGGTAAGTCGAGGATCCTATGTCCCATCAGGGAAGATAGTAAGTACACCAATGACTTTTGTATAGTGATCCTTAACCCTGGCTTCATATTATAGTCATCTGGGGAATGTTAAAAATATGCCAGTACTTAGGCTGTACTATCAGGGTTTCTGATTAAATTGGTCTGGTTACCAGTATTTTTAAAAACCTTCTAAACTGATTCTAAGGAGCAACCAGGATTGAAAAAGCACTGGCCTGAAATGAGGTATTATAGGATTAGCACTATGGGGTATACAGTCTTACTGGATTTAAGAGACTGGAATATGCACATCTAGCTGGGAAGATCAGAGAAGTCTTCACTGGTAAAAATACGTTTGCACTGGTTCTCAAAGATGAGTATGCTTTGGCCAAGAGGCAGGTAGAAGGAGTCAGAAGAAGTTCGGCAATGATGTGGAGCCAGGAAAGAATGGGGCAAGTTTGAGGAGTGATCCATGTGGGTACAGTGTGTGTAAATACATTAATGGATTAATGGGCACTGAGACAGGTAAAGTGCCCAAACTAAAAGGGCCTTCGTAGCCAGGTTAAAAAGAAAAAAGACATTTTTCTCAGCACAAGAAAGCAAGCTGTGGGTTTTAAGCCAAGAATTGGTGTAATCATATTGAACATTAGGAAAACCAATTTGGCAGCAGTTTTGAGGTTTATGTCACTTCCTGGGGCTCACTAGATTGCAGAAAACCTCTCTCCCTCCCTCCCTCCCATCATCCTTCCTTCCTTCTCCAGTATAGGCTACCTGGAAAGGAAGCCTAATGGTGGATGAGGTCAAAACCACATTTTAAGAGCTGTTTGGACTTAATGCACTAGACATGGAGGACCATTGCTGAAATCTAAGAAGGAAAGGGCATGGCCATGTTTATGACAGGGGAGTTTGGATAGCACACTGGAGAGAGGAAGAGACTCATACTGGGAAGTCAGTTGCAGTGCTTTCAGCAGTGGTGAAGACAAGAAGTTCTGAACTAAACCAGCATGGGAGGATGGGACAATTTTGAAAGTAATTTCAGACTTGAGGGACTAAATTCCTGTGGATGGAGAGGAAGAAATTGAAGGTAAGGGTGAGTCTGCAGTTCCCTAGTTAAGAGTAGTTATGTGGATTGCCTTGCTCTCTGAATTAAACTCTTCTTTAACTAAGCATCATTTTCTACACCAAGAGATCCAGAGATACGAAATTATATTTCAGATATAAACTTCAAAGGGAAAAATCCATTGTAAAAGAATTAGAGATGTCATGTAAGATATTTTGTATAAATTTATCAAACTTGATGAAGAGAGACTTGGTTCTGGAGTCCTTGGTGGGTAGGGCCTGGCAGGTCCAGCAGTCTCTCAACCAAAGGATAAGCTAGTGAGTCATTGCATGAGGGACAGATGAGACCTTTAGATTGAAACAGAGAAACATGCATCAGTTTCTGGTAGATTTGTGAGAAAGAAGTATATGGCATAGATCTAGGAAAACAAGCTAAATTCTAGCAGAAGAAAAAAGCAATGAAAAAAGAGAGTGGTGATGCAATGTTGGTAACAAAGCCTTGGCCATTATCATGAATGTGTTCTACATACTTTTGGACTTGGATCCATTATGATTTCCTTTTTCCTACCTAGACAGTGTTTAAAGCAACAACCTTAGAGTTGATCAAAAGCAGGAACTTAACATTTATTCCCAAAGAGTTTAAGAGTAGAGATGTGGCCTCAAAGCTTTTAGGCTAGCTGCTGAATGAGCATGTCAGAAGCGTGAACCTCTTGTAAGAAGAGCATATTGGCTCACTGGAACCAATAAGGGATAATCAAGAAAGAGCCAAGAGAAAGAAGCATTGACAAGAACGTGATTTCAATGCCTGGTAAGCACGATCAGTTTCCCCGAGGTCATTGTCCATAGTCTAGAGCTGAAGAAACTAGATATGAATGTAGCCACAAAGCGGCGAGGAGTGAAAATATATTGAAAAAATTCAAAGGTGTAGACAGTTTTCTAAGACCCGATAATTGAATTTGCTGATAAAAATAACTTACTTGCTCCCATCATCTGTGAGAACTTGTGTGTGTGATAATTCCTGGAATATTTGTATTGTTTGCAGTTATTATTTACCAATAACTTGTTTTGCCCTTTCAACTGTACCATGTGTTAAAATTGCATTGTCTTTTCTTACACATCTGCCTGCACACCCATATCAATTGATGGCATGGTGTCTACTCAGTATCTGCAGTTCCCAGCTCATAGCACCCGGCACAAGGCCTCACTGGAAATGGAGGAGCAGGAGGGGTGACCTGGCTGCTGCACCTAGAGAGCAGTGCTTCCTGGGACCCAGATTCCTTTGAGTGCAAGCCATTTTTATCCCAAAAGCTTCCAGTCACTAAAATCTGCATTTTGTGAAATTTCAGTAGGTTTTGTGGCCCATGGGTAAGAACTCTAGCTTTAGAACATGCTTTGAAATTTTGACTAGATTCTGTAGGCGTCAGTTGCATTTATGAGGCAAATCATCTATAATCAGCGTATATTATTAAATGGTACCAATTTTGTGCCCATTTGTGGAATTTTCTGTGAGCAAGTCTTTATTAAGCTTATATCCTATGTGGAGGCAGATAATAAATACATAAAATAAATTCAGATCAGTACTAAAGTACTGAGAGAAAAATAAAATGGTCATGTGGCAGGGTGGCCATATGGGAGCAGTGATGTTTCAGATGGAGTGTTTGGGGACGAAAGACAATTGAGATGAGACCTAACTTATTAATTACCTGTTTTGGTAATGAGTTTTAAGAAATAAGCCACGAGGTTAAATATCAAATTTCCTAAACAAGTATAAGTATATATCATTTTAAGAGCATCTCTGTTCTTTCCTTAGTTGGATACATGCATAGTGCATAAAGCAATGCTGCCATCTGGTGGTAGTGAGCTTAATAGCATGCTTGCCTTTTGCAAATCAATTTCAAGAGTATATTCTTAAGACATATTTCCAAACAATAGATTTCTTGTTAGGTTGATTTTGAATTTAAAATGCCTCTACAGCTATAATTTATTGAAAATCTTACTTAGCCTCAAATAAACACTTGGAATGGTTTTCTGTGTTCAGTAACACTTATGCAGTTGAAGGAAGGTTACCTAAGAAATGGGAAGAACTCAGTTCTCAGAACTGAAAGCAGATTTCAGTTGTGTGGTACTGGAAAAATAAGTCAGACAAGGTGAATTGCCTATACAAGTGTGGGAAATCTGGGACTTGAATTTGTTCATCAAAACGTGTGTTACATTAAATTCCTCATTCCAAAAAGCTTATATATATCTTAAAACACTTTTTCAGTTGAATATTTTTGAAAGAATGTACTTTGGAATTTGCAAAGACAAATGAAAGTGCTTAGGAAGAGTGAACATTATTAATTGAACTTTATATCAAGCAATACATTTCCATGGAAACACAACCATTATACTTTAATTTAATGCTCTAAATATTTGGTTTGCTTCTTGTAAATACCAGTTTTTTAATGCTTTGTTTTTTTACAATACTTTATGGCTCTTTTCTAAGTTTTTTATTTAATTTATTTTCCTTTTGAAGTAGTTTTCATCTCTTAGTAATTGACTTAATTTTTTGTTTTGCTTTTCTTATTTTAAAGAATTTATAGAAAAGATTTGAGGGAAAAAAAAGGTAGCTAGCAGTTACAAATAAATTCTACTTATTTTCTAAACCCAGGAAAAATCTGTTCTACCTAGAGTCTTGTATAGAAGTAGCTCTTCTCAAAGCCTTTGATTAGGTAGTTTATTTCAATTCTTTATGGAAGTAAAATTTATAAAGATCAATAACTGTGCATATTTCTAGTTGGTTATTTATCAGAGGATATATACAATTTTGAATTCTTCACACTTCATGGTGTAGTCCTTATGCTCTGAGTGGACTTAAAAATACAATTGTGTAATTTGGTTTTGAATACCCCATAGAGATTTTATAATAATGGCATTAATCATAATAAATGGTCTGATATTATTTCTGACTAATGATAATGGGAGTGGAGAGATTGTTATAATTAAACTGGACACTGTGGACTTATGTTTACATTTATTTTACAGAAAGATTAAAAATATCTAGCAATTTCATATCTAATCTTTTGCTGGTTAGGACACTTGAAGCTTCATGGTCTCTATTCTCAACTTAATATGCTGGAAAATATTGAAAAAAACACCCAATGGTGGGCTGGTAAGAATTACAGGCATATCTTTATAAGGTTACATTCTGTACAAGTTTTGAATTGGCAGTATTTTGTTGATGGAATCGCCTTGCTTTATTACAAAGTATGATGTACACATTTACATGGACATACACTCACTGGACTTGAATGGGGAACAAAAGGAGCCTCTGTATATCTGATGCCTGTCATCTTGATATTCTCATAGACGGACTTTCTTTTAAGTATGGAAGCAGGGAGAAAGACCTTTATTTGAAGTCTGGCATTTGCCAGACTTTTAGAATATATATACTTGTGAGTATTTTTTGTTGTTAGTTGCTGATTGGTGATTCTCACCTAGTTTTCAGTTCATATGGCCTTAGCATCATTCTATGTGTGTTGCATCTTCTCATGACTAGGAGGATCTGCTATGAGAAAAACTAGTTCTCTCAGGGATCATCTCTAGATTTTTTCACCTAGGAATAAAATCACTATGATATTTCCTTCACAGACTACAAAACAGAATCATCTCAATTACACTGTTTTAAATGTTAAGCAGAATTTTTACCTTAATTAAAATAATATGATAAGCTTGACCTCCTTTAACTCTTAAATAACTAAAAAGTGTCAATCTTAACATTCTTATGTTATTTACTATATTTCCTCTTTTCCAGTTTGTCAATATGGTGGAAAATATTTGTTGAAGAGTATATTTGAAGATTTCTCTTTTTATTTTTGGAATCTAAACTAATGTTTATTGAAGATGAAATCCCCAATATTAGACTCATTATTGCTTTTCCAATGGTAGCTTCAACAATCACATATAAATACCAGGAAGAAAGGGAGAGAATGCATAAAGTGAACTTTATAAAGGCATGCCACTACTACCAGAGATTAATGAGTATCCAAAATAAAGTGTGGTGGGTCAGTTTGGATTCAGAACTCCATAGCTTCTCAGTTAGAATCAGTGTGAAGCCCTTACAGTGTAGTAGCTCCTTTTAATTTTATATGGAATGTCTTACTATTCCTAAAAGGCACCTCGATGAATCAAGAGTAATAATTCTGCCACAGTTTCACTAATACATATATGCTTCACTCATATGTTCACTGTTTATCTTGCACTACTAGCTTGTTGCTTTTTAAGACCATTTTAATTCATATGATAGATTCAGCCTGACGTTGTGTTATTTTAGTACTTTTTAATAAAAGCAGCATTTCCCTTCATTTGCAGGTGCTGCTGTTTTTTCAAACGAAGGAAAAGGAAAACCATACAGCGTCACAAATGACTGTGGACACAGACAGACCATGGGGAGTTACTTACGTGTTCATCTGCTGTCTTGTGATTAAAATCATCTCTGTAGTGACCACGTGTATTTTCAAGGACTCACTCTTAGAATCAGAAAATGCCATATGCTTCATACTTCATTTTGTGGTTGTCTTACATTCATATTTTTTTCTAATTTAACTTTTATGGAAGCTTTAAAGTTTTGTCAAAACACGAGTGCTTTGCCCATCAATGAATGGAATGGACCAATGAGGTGGCCCTGATGAATACATTTCTATAGAACATTTTTCAGAAGCTCTCCTCCTGTTGTAGAAAACAGTACAGTATCTTAAACATCAACCAGTTATATACCTGATCTGGTTCTTTGTAACTTCTGTAAGAGCATAATCAAACAGGAATTTACTCCCCAGCGGATAATGCAACAGAGAAAACTGAGTTGCCCATATGTTTAAAAGAAGTTATTCCTTGAGAAGTTCATGTTTTGTGCGACACCTGCATTGATTTCAGTATTACCGATGGTACTACTATTCATGAGTCATGTTAACATTCTCTCTGTGAAATCATTGGTACAGTCACTGCCCAGAGGTACTGAGGAAAAAGCTCTATGGGTTCGGCAGATGGTTGTGGTCAAACGGATCACACCTAGAGTGGTAAATATGAGCTCTGCTTCTTGTTGCACCCTGTATGAGTACAGTGTTGCTGAAGTGGCAAAAGCGCTTTTTTAGAAAATGCAAAATATTTGTATAATGTAACTTTATGCTTCCAGACAATACTGTATGTTAGACAACAAGAAATGAATACTTTGAGAAATGAGATATGTTGGAGTTTTTTTTTTTAATACACTAAGGAGAAGAAATAAATGTGAATGGCATTGTAATGTATAAGGTTGAAGTCAAAGGAGACCCCATTGAAACCTACTGCTGAATGATTACATTCTCCTGTAAGAAAACTTTGGATGTGCCCTGCAATGGTGTGTGTGTATTAATTATTTGCTCTTTGATAAAAAAGACCCCCAGCAATCAAAACTGGGACACTCTGTTGCAATTTGTGCAATTAGTTTCTTATATTCAACTTTGCTGGTTCTCTGGAATTTTCCTACTTTTTAGCCTGATTTTGAGGAAAACTGTTTTGGAGAGGATGGGTCAGGTGCTTTGCCTCCATAGTCTTTTTGAAGTGCCTGCATATGAACAAAGTAACAGTTCTGTAAAAAAGGAAGCCCATTCCACTTTTCGGGTATGCTTTGTTTTAAGCCATGAAGGCATAGGTGTACTTTTGTCACATTTTACTAGCCAGGATTTTCAAGATTAAAATTAAAAGACTGGCTAGAAAGATAATTATGTTGTTCAAGTCTCATATTCCCCTTTCATTTATAAAATTGTTACTCACCCCTTCCATGCAACCCTTCCCTTTGTCTTTAAGCGCATGCCTCCAGGCATGCTTATTTATTTTTATTGTCTCAAGGTAGCATTTAAAATGTGTAATTAAAGTAAATAAATCTACATTTTTGACTTGGTTATTGCATTTACAGGGATTTAATTGTACTTTGTAATTTATTTTTTCTTATTAGCCAAAAGTTCAATGTTTTGTTTTTGATGAATTAGGCACCTATTTGCGTACTGCGGATCAGGACATTGTTTATCATTGTTGCTCAGAATCCTCTGAATGATCTTTCTAAGTTCTTGATTTTAAAGACCTACACTCAGCCTAGAAAACATTTGCTGTCTAATTTGGTCAACAGTTTCCATTCTATCTATTTGTATACTGTCATGATGTCTTAAACCACAGGAGTTACATACTGTTCTTATTTCTGTTTGTTTTGAGCAAGGTAGATGGATGTTTTGGCCATTATAATGTGAAACCACTTCTTTACAGTATTTGACCAAATTTGTGTGTCTGTGATATTTGTAAATACATGCGATAATCTGTATTTCTTACCATAAGCCTATTTAGTTTTATTCTCAGTAGGGTTTTTGGACTGTACAGTGTTTATATGATCTGAACTCCTTATACATAAGAAGGTGTGTATATTAATCCAATTATGGACTTAAAATATTTTAAAAGTATAAATACCCTTATTTGCTGCAAAGACCAGTGTGTAAACATTTGCTTTTTAGCAATATTTTTAAGTGCTCCATTTTAATGCCAAGGAATAAGTCTTGGCAACACAAACTGGTCAATAATAGGTAATGCAGGTATGTTCAGGTTAAGCCAACAATGTTTTGCATTTTTATGCTTTTTTTCTGTCAACACTAATGAAGTCAACATTGCCTGAATGTCTGAATAATGAAACACATCCTGTTTAAAAGTATGTAACTGAAAAAGAAATAAAAAATAAAGGTAGTTTTTTTAAACTTGCTCTTTCCCCTTTCCTCTAATCATGGGTCAAATAATGTTATTCACTAAGGTAGGAATTTTTAAAATTCAGTTCATTTAGTTTAGTATAAGTGAGAAACAGAGCTAAAGGAATATGCTCATGTTGTTTTGTTTTTATTTTGCTTTGTTGGAACTCCATTGTAAAAAGAACCTACCAAGAAGTATCTAACCTTTCTTTAATGAAAAATTAAAAAAAAATTCTTTACACTTCCATGCCATGAAATACTTAATAATTAATTAAAACTAATGCCAGTAATAAACCAAGGAAAATAAACAATCATTCTATTTCTCTCAAAAATGAAGGTACACTATTAGGTTCACAGAAATGAAACATTATTAATACAATTTTAAGTGAATTGTTTTATCATTGAGATGGAGAGCATGTAGCTGTGACAGTATTTCACAGTTTATCACTGTACTAGTTGCTTTAGGGGTTTGTAAAATGGTACTAATGGTGCTCTGCTTATTGGCAGATGCTACAGGTAAGGCGAGGCAACGCTGCATACACTAAACAGCAGTATGCAGAAACAATAGCAAGATTTGGCAGTGAAACCTAATGGTTAAAAGGCCCTGTCTAGAAAAATCTAACTTAAGATTAGGGCTCAATCCAGATGATTATATAAATTGCATTAGTCGGCACCCTTTGAACTACAAGTGGTAGAAACCTGTGTAGAAACCTAACTGCTTCAGCTATAAGGGTTTACATCACCACATTTTATTGGAATGTCCAATGGTCGGACTGGCTTCAGACATGCCCTATCCTGTTTTAAAGTTAGAAATCTGTCTTTATCTCTTTCAGTTTTGCTGTCTGCCCTGCTATTTCCATTGTCGGGGAGACTTTTCAAATGGCATGGCAAAATGGTCACCCAGCAGCTTCAGACGTTCACTGCCTTGGTGACCACAGCCAGAACGGGCAGTTTCTCTCAACAGCTGCAACAAAGTCCTGAACCTGACATTTATTCTTTCTTTGCTTCATATGTCCACCCCTGAGCTAGTTACCATTGCCAAGGGAATACTGTTCTCCCATCTCCAGTGGACACATTGGACTGGTAAATGAGATAGAAGGGCTGTTACCCAAAAGGAAATGAGGGTATTTTAAAAAGCAGCAGAGTAAGTGCGTATTGCACAGGCAAAATCAATAGCTATCCTCTGTCAGGATGAGAAAAACAAAATATAGCATAAAAGCAAACCCAATTGTTTTTAATTAGAAAACATTATTGAGGCATTTATTAATCTGAATATTTTATTAGAAATCACATAGTAAATGAGTACATTTGAAAAATATTTTGGACTTGGGTTAAAATGGAGGTCGTAAGTACCTTATTTGATGTGCTTTTGTTTTTATTTACTTTTTAATGTGGTAGAATTGGATTAGTAGACTTGAAAGCCAATTTTTTTAAAGCTGTTCATTCTTTGCTTAGCTCTAATACCCACCATGTTATTTTCTTAGGAAACTTACTTCATAAGAATACATGGATCATAACCAAAGAAAGAACTACATATAGAAGTATTACCAGGTAATATTGCTGGGGTATGCAAATGGTTTTGTTAGAAAGGACATTTGTTTACAGGGATGTTTACCATACTGTGGTTTTGCTTAAATGGAAAAAATACTCATGCCCTACTTGACTGGGGATTGGCAGACTTTATTTGTAAAATAAAGTTTAGGCTTTGTGCGCCAAGGGGCAAAATTGGGGCTTTTATGTACTTGGGTAATGAGAAAGTAAACAAATTTCACTAGCTTTTTATTGATGAAATTCAAAATATATAAACAGTTGAGTACACATTTATTGTAATACATGTCTCCTAATGATAAGAATTGAATTATTTTGAGGGGACAGTATTTCGCTTAGTTGGGGCTTGAAATTGATTGCAAATGTTTATCTGTTTTACTGACCTGTAGTGTGATTTTATTTATTTTATCTTTGAAAATGTCTTCACACAGATAGATACTTACCAAATACTGTTAGTAGTCCTCAAGTATATGATTTGAATTGATCACATCATTTGTAAAGTATTATAGAATTCCATTAGATTCTACTGTTGTTATTTGCCTTTTGGCATACCATTACATTGCAGATTAATCACTTCTTAATGAAAGCTAGGTAAAAGCTCTTCATTTGTACAGTTATATGGATTTTGAAATATGGAAATTTCTTGTACTTGTATTGAGATCCAAAGTGCAGCTGGAACTCTAAATTGAGTTCAGAAAATAAATCCACTGAAAATGTATGTGGAATATGGAGATCTTGCTGCTCGTTTTGGTGTGAGAGCATGTGAAGTATATAATGCAGCTTAACGATATTTGTGATTTAAATAAATTAGTTACTATAATGACTATTGCAGTATAAGTTTCACATATAAGTGCTGTTTTGCCTTGTAATTTTAAATAGAACTTATTTAGAAACATCAAATCTGTAGCAAAAGCTAATTTTCAAAGCTACCCAGAGTTCATTAATGATAGATGAGGGTGATTTTCATTCAGAAAAATTTCAACTGTGATTCTCAGCTCAAAAAATTGCAGTAAAACTTTACCACTGCCATCAAACTGCTACATAGTTGGGTAAGTCAGGGTATCTAGTTTCTATTTCTGACAAAATTAATGGAAATGAAGATGATTAAGACTATAAGAGTGAATGAAATTCCCCATTGAACTTACTACTTCAGTAACATGACAATTAAAATATTTTTCCACAGAATACTTGCTGACAAATAATACGAAGCATAAACCTTGACTTTAAACATCTTAAATTTTCACAAACTTTTAGAAGTTGTCCAGCAAACTTTTTTATGATTCACACATATTTTTACCACCACTATTTGTAGCATCTTACTCGTTTCCACTTCAGTTTGCCCTGAATTGGCATTTTCTCAAGATCTTTAGAAATACTTTCTGGTGGTTGTTCCATGGAGACTATTCAGAGAGAATAATTCTTAGTCACTTCAGACTCAGCACTGACTTCTCTAGTAAAGGGCAACTGAACAGTATTGGTAACATCTATTGATTCATCAAAAGCCAAGGAAAACTACTTGAAATCATTTACCTTGTTTAGTTTTACCTTGTTTAGTTGATGTCTTCAAGTCTTCAAGTAGCAGACGTTGCTAAAAAAAAAATAGTCTTAAGTTTATTTTTTGTGGACGTTCTTTCTGACTGCTGTGATCAAACACAATTTAGTTAAGTAACTCACCGTCAGTAACTCGCTTCCTTTGCTTGGCTAACAGATGGTCCACTTGGAAAGTACTTTAGTCTGCACCCTTGTTCTCATTTTTGTGTGTGTGCATAGAGTGTACTGTGATGACATACTCTTGTTTTAAGTTCTCTAACTGTTCTGACTGTTGCTTTCCTGTGATAGGGGATATTGTGATGAGCATAGCTAAAATGTCATTGCATAATAAACACCAAGTTTTGCTTTATAGTTGTGTAAAAAATAATCTGCATTCCACTGTGCCTTAAAATTGCAACAAAGTTCACTCAGCTTTTTTACATGATTAATATACATTCATAATAAAAAAATGTCTGTATGACAATATGTGTGGCATTTGAAGTGCTGTCAAATTATAACTGCATCACTCACATTTGTTGTGTGCTGAACAGCAGTGTGAAGCAGTCAGAGTGCCACGTATGTCACTGTCACAAGTATTCAGCTCTGTCTTTGTAGCATGAAAGCAGCCATAGAAAATATGAGTGAGTGAATGAGCATGGCTGTGTTACAATAAAATTTTATTTATGGACACTGAATTTTGAATTTCATATAATCTTTATGTGTCATGAAATAGTCTTTTGATTTTTTAAACAATTTAAAAATGTAAATAACTATTCTTAGCTCATGGGCCAAACAGAAACAGGATGTGGGCTGGATTTGACTTGCACACCATGGTTTGCCAACCTCTGTTCTAGACCACTATGGAAAGGCTTGGATATTTGAGGTGAATTATTTTTTTACCTAGCAGAATGACACTGCTACCTAAAAGATAACAGTTAAAGTTTATGTGTTCAACTTTTTAAAACACCTTATGCCAGGCAGTGGGCTGTGTGCTTAAATCTGATTTTCTTTCTCTGGCCTGGATTTTTGCAATGTATTTTCATAATTGTATGCCAGGATTTCTTCTCTTCTTTGCCTAAATATTTTCCGCAGTGCACTTTACCTCTAATACTGTGAATTTCACTGTGAGTGCATATCATCCTGGAACACCCCTCTACACCTCCCTTTCCATGGGTGTGTTCCCATCAGAAATACCATCACACCCAGTGCCAGTGACTCCTATATGTATATTTATTATGCCCTGTTTTTAACTAAGCCTTCTTACTTATAGCTCTTGTCTGTGCATGGGTATGAAACCTGCTAGATATTGTTTTCAAACTTCCTGCTAAGTTCTCTCCTTGAGTGAATGCATTGGTTGTCTCTAACCTCATGGTATATGTAACAGTCACTTCCGTGGTTTTTATCTGATTCTCTCACCCTTCTCCCATCATTCAGTTGAAAAGTCACTTTAGCAATTCAGATATGCTCTTGCCAAGATCTCATGAGATAACATTTTAAGTCATCTTAAATTATGCCTTGGAAATTAATGTCTCTTTTTGAAACATCATCTGGTAGAAAAATCACTGCCTCCTTTTCTTGTACTTTGTATTTTGTCTGGCATCCCGTATTGACTTTGTTAGGTTACTCTCAATATTCCATGTTCAGCTTTTTATAAATCATAAAAATTATAAATGCATATAATATATAATCAATATGATAAATTACAAAAATTTTGCAATTAGAGCTATTTTTTCCTCCATGTGCTTAAATCATTTAAATAGCAACACCAGCTGAAAGTCATACCTTATTACAAAAATTTTGCAATTAGAGCTATTTTTTCCTCCATGTGCTTAAATCATTTAAATAGCAACACCAGCTGAAAGTCATACCTTCACAAATAAACATCTGGACAGTCCTGTATAGTTTCTCCTATGGATTTGGCTGAGTGAAGACCACAA